AGACAGGATACTGGGCTGGATGGACCTTTGGTCTGACCCGGAACGGCCGTTCTTGTGTAGACTCCTTGGACGGCAGGTGCACGTGACAGCCCGGAGCCTCGCCCAGTGTGGTGTGGCTGCTGCGGCAGTCCTGGGGCTGAGCCAGGCTTGGCAGGGACTCGTGCCTGGGACCCTGGGTGTAGCCAGCCGCTCTTGGGCAGTGCAGCACCAGAAGAGGTGCCTTCGCCGGGCAGCGAGATGCTGGAGAAGCACCGTGCTTCCGACTCTGCTCAGGCCTCCAAACCGGATGGAGATGAGCTGGCTAACCCCAGGAGGGGGGCTCCACACCCTGGCCCATTGCCCTCTGCCTTGTCAGCCACTTGAGGGGCAGCATTCAATCACAGCATGCATTGGCCTGCCTTTCATGTCATCGTCTTGCTGCTGGGTCATGACTAGGGGCTGCGCCCCCTCAGCTCCCGGCAGTTGAGGCGCGTGGGGTGTGTCCTTACATGGACCCTGAGGGTAATTCATTGAGGGGTTTTCTGTTCACGTCGTTTAAACTGGAGCCTTGGTGTCTGAGAGCTTCAGACTTCTGCGGGGGAGGGGGGGACAATGGGGGACTCAGCTCTCAGAATGGATTTGGTTGGTTCAGGGCCCAGCCTTAACAGCACATGGCTTTAAATCAGCAAGCCAACAAGTTCTAGGGCTCTATTCTCCCGTCCCCTCGCAGGCAGACTGGGCAGAGCCTGTCCCTTCCTGCCTTCGGGCAGCTCCTCGGCCGTGACTCACCATGCCCAGCCCAGAGCATCCTGGTGCCCTGTGACACAGCTGGATGCAGAGACGCGGTGCATGGCGCGGTGTCTCTACAGGACAGAAGGAAGGAAAGCAGCTGCGGCCAAGGGAAGTAGGCCGGAGCGTGAGCCTGAGACAAAGGCTCCGGAGCCGTGCTTGGCGGGGAAAGCTAGGCCAAGTGCAGGCTGGAGCTCCTGTCAGCGTCGTCGTAACGTCACTGCCTGACTGGAGGGCTGAGGGCGTTACACCGGGAGCGACCGGGGCTGTGCTTGCGAGGTGTAAAGGGCACCGGGTCATTACAAACCCAGGCTAACGACGGTGCTGCCGCCAGCGACAAGTCTGGGCTAGCGAACGCACAGGTGTGGAAGGCAGGTGGGAACCGGGCCGAGCTGCAGTCTCAGTGCCGTGCTGGGGCTTGTGTCAGAATCAGTCCTGCTGACTCAGCCTGGGAAGTTGCTCAAGCCGGTCCAGCGAGCCCCAATCACTGGGAAACTCCCATCTTGCCACTGGCCACACAATAGTGAGAGGCTGGGGGCGGAGACATGGAGGACACAGTGGTGGGAAGTCAGACCCAGTCCCTTTAACATGCCCCTTCTCCTGGTAGTTTGCATGTGGCGTGAGACACAGACAGGACCCGTGGGTGGGTGAATGGCTGACAACATGCAGGGGAGATGCCTGCTTAACCCAGTGCCGCCCCACAACGAAGCAGTCAGAGCGAAGGCACCTTTCCTGCAGCTGATCTCTATTTTCCAAAGGGGCCACAGCTGGCACCGGAACGGGAACACAGTGCTGCACGTACCCCGGCCAGTCTTGTCCTCCCCCCCCCACACACACACACCAGAGAACACCCTGCGGGCGGCACACGCTACAGCTAGTTCTAGCCCCCACACAGGCGTGGGAGCAGCTCATGCAAAAAAGTTCTCCTGGCTGCGCAGGTTCAGAAATCTACATTTCCCCACAACTCCTAAGCTTTGAAAGGGAGGGAGGGGGCCGGCCTAACCTAGACACAAGCTCTGTAACCCTGACATCACAGCTCCACTCCTTCAGGATCTCCCCGGCGCCTGCTCCTGCCCTTAGGCTCAGTTACCCAGGCGTAAGCAGGGGCTGGGGTTCCAGGGAGTCCTGAGGCGGTCCGGGGCAATGGCAGATCCACTGAAAATCAGAGCAATCACCTCTCGGGCCGGGGGCGCGAGCGAGAGGCAGCTCGGCCCCAGGTGAGTTACGCTTTTCACCCAGGTACACGCAGACGGAGGGTCTGACCCTGTGGGCAGAAGGCAGGACTCGGCCGCCGGGGTTGCTGGAGTTTTAGGCAGATTCTGCAGCGTCTCTACAATCCCTGGAAACATTCTCCAGTTACTACGTCTGTCTGCACTGCACCTACGGCAGCAAGGAGAAAAGTAAAAAACAGACCCGGCCCTGGTCCTGCTGGGCGACCGGCTCCGTCTACACACACTGCTTCCTCATTAGACACCGGGCTAAGCATGCTACTAGGCAACTACTGGGCTCCACAGGGCCTGGGTGGGGGAGTGTGACTGCCCCTCTCCCTACAGGCCTTGTTGGATTTACATTACTCGACAACACCCATAAGGACCCACAAACGTCCCACAGCCCCTAGGGAGCCCAGGCCCAACGCGCTCCAAACAGCCAACGCCCTAGCTGCATCCAGCCGTGCAGCTCAAGGTGGAGCATAGCATGGGGGCCTGCACCCTCCAGAGGCCATGCGGCTCATGGGGCCTGCTGTCTCCCTGGACGGCGCTTCCCAAGAGGCAACAAGAGCTACTGGGATTTGCTGCATTTAACTCAGGTGAGCGGCAGCCCTTGGAGCCTGGACAGATGTCAGCTCCATGGCTGGCCGGTCACCCCCCAAGCTATCCCCTCCCCAGCACTGCCTGCTCCTCCCAGCTTAAAGCAGCTTTGAGAAGTAAGAAAACCCACTGCCTTCAAATAGAAAACGTCGTGAAATCCTGCAACTTCTTCCCCTCTGGAGGCTGGGACTGGGCAGCCACAAGGGAATGGGGCCAGGTGAGGAGCTGTCTCTGCCCATGGGGGTTCTGGAAGCCCCTGACCGTGAATAAATGGTGATCAGAGTCTATTGAAAAGATGGGATGTGAGTACGGTGGGGAAGGGGGAGAAGGAGCAGCTACCACCCGTGGTGCGATGGGTCGTCTCTTCCTGGAGCCAGGCAGTTTGGTTCACAAGAAGCAAGCGGTTCCCTAGAAAAACTACTGAAAAATGGGCGGGCAGGTGAGCCCCATCCCTAGAAAAGGAGTGTTTCCTTCTGTAAAAATGTCAGGGAAATGCGTTAGTGAGTGAGGCCAGGAGAACAGCGTCACTGAGCAGCATGGAGACCCTGCCACCCGCGGGCCACGCCGACGCTGGTCAGGATCCAGAGAGGCCTGGACGTGACTCATGGACACTCCTTGGGCGGAAACCCCCCGAGTTCAGCTGCCCACGGGCTCCATGTCTGCCCTCAATGCACATCAGGCGTCTCTGGCCAGTCTCCACAGTCCGTTGCAGCCATCTGCTGGTTTGTGGCTGGACCCCGCCCAGGTCCCAATTCCTGCTGCAGTTTGTAACCGGCCTCAGCCGGGCTCTGCCCCTCCTGGAAGGCGTCTCTGTGGCCAGGGCTGCTCAGTTGCTTTCCACCAGCTTGGCAAGTCCCTGCCGGAGCTCGCTGAGCTCAAATATCTTCACATCCATTAGCTCGCCCACCTTGGTGACTTCGCCCTGCATCTTCTCCCTCTCGGCCAGCTGCTCGGCCAGTGTTTGCTCAGCCACGTGCAAACGTCGCTCCAGCTCCGCGTTGCGTCCCTCCAGCTCCTGGCCAGGGATGCAAAGGATTAGTAAACAAACGGACAACGAAGCAGCTACCCCCGCACCTTAACCGCACTCCCCCCCAGCCAACACACCACACGCAGCAGCTACACCTCCACCTTAACCACGCAAACACACCCCACAGCCAACACACACACACAGCAGCTAGCCCTGGACCTTAACCGCACTCCCCCCCAGCCAACACACCACACACAGCAGCTACACCTCCACCTTAACCGCGCAAACACACCCCAGCCAACACACACACACAGCAGCTATACCTCCACCTTAACCACACACACACCCCACAGCCAACACACACACACAGCCGCTAGCCCTGGACCTTAACCGTGCACACCCCCCACAGCTAACACACACAGCGGCTACCCCTGCACCTGAACACCAGTGCACACACACGCCCCGCCTGTTCTCTACACCTGTGCCCTTCCACTGACACACACACAGGTTATCCCCTTCACCAGCACAGATGCCCATGTTCTCACCTCTACTCATCACATACCCATGTGCATAATCCCCTGCCACGGACCTTCTCACACCTGCACACCAGGTGCACGGAAAACACATTCCTTTATTGATCCCATCATGGAATTGGCCCCAGCAGATCAGGCTGGAGTTCACCTCTTGGTACCTGGGCCTGTCCCCCCTGCCCGTGTGCTCTGACCATCACCCCGCTGCACACTGACTGTGGCAGGAGTCTGGGAGCTCAGCTCCTCGGCACATGCCAGCCGGCTGATCGGACTAGCCTCTGGAGATGCAATGCCAGAGCTGTCCACTGGCCCAGCAGAAACTCTCCTCTCCTGGCCTCTGTCCAGCCTCGGAGCTGCAGGCCTAGGATAAGACCACGTAGGTCTCTCTCCACCCCACACCCAGCACCCGGTCGCTGAGCAGGAATATATTCTTTGTCCCGTAAAACCGGAGTCCTGTGCTGTGAGCAGAGCCTGTATCAGAGTCCCAGCCCCAGCGGGCCCTGACGGGCACAAGCAGGCAGCCCTCTCAGAGCCTGGATAAATGGAATGAGAGATGCCATCTGCGTCCTGCCTAGGGGTACAGAGCAGCTTGCATCCCTCCTTGCCTGCCCTCCCCTGTGAACCCGCTGGAGTCAGCGCTCCACCCCTGAGGGGGTCAGCTGGCAAGAGATTCTGCAGCTCCCCTTCCTGCAGGCTGGGCACGTCCTCTGCCCAGAATGGGGCCCAGCCAGTGAGCAGAGTGCCCTGGCCTCCCAGGGCTGCCAGGGGATGGAGGGTTGCAAGGCACCGCCCTGCCCTAGCTGCATGTCCAGCAGGACGCATCAGGCTCTGGGGGAAGTGTGATACGCAGAGAGGGTTCGTTATCTTTTCAGTGCACGTTGGGTGCTGGGTGTGACTGCCTTTCTGTGGGGCATGGGAGGAAGGGGAGAAGGAAGCACATCCCAATCCTGTCGCCCAGCAGCACCCCAGGAACACACAGGATGGGGTCCCCTTGCTGGCCATGGCTGGGGAAATCATTCCCCTATCAGCAGCTCTGCAGAAAGAGGTAAAGGGGGGCCCAGTATAGTTGGGCTGGAAGCAGAGTGAGAACCCCAGACCTGCCCCCTCTCACGGGCACAGGGGAGAGGGGTGTAGCTGGCTGTCCCCCAGTCTAGACAGCG